CTGCGTCCCGTGACTCCCGCCTCAAGCAGCCTCGCGGGTGGTAGCAGCAGTAACAGCCGTGAGCCCTCGCTCAGCATCTGCTACATGCGAATGACTGATTCCGGTGCGAGCTCTAAGCGTGCACGCTGTGCTGGCGTTAGTCCCATTTGACAGATGAGGAAGGAGAGGTGGAGGTGTCACGCACTGGCCCAGGGCTCCTCGCTGTGGTCTGACTGCACACAGCCCCTGTACGCCTCCTTCACAAAGGGGCTGGGCGAGTCTCTCCACCACTGTAAGGAAACGCCCGGGGCTCGGGAACCCACAAATGAAAGAGGTGTGTTTGGGCTCCATGCTGGAGGTCGGGGGCGGTGACCCTGCTGCTGGCAGAATCCGGAGGCAGTGCGGGGCCTCAGCCGGCGGCAGGGAGCCAGTGGTGTCTCCTCTGAGCTCTCTCCCTCCTTCTTCTCCTCCTCTTCCTCCTCCTCTTCCTCCTCCTCCTTCTTTTTGTTAAAGATTTATTTTATTTGAAAGTCACAGTTACACAGAGGGGGAGAGAGAGAGAGAGAGAGAGAGAGAGAGAAGAGAGAGAGAGAAACGCTTCCGCTTGCTGATTCATTTCCCCAAACAGCTGCAATGGCCAGGGCTGGGCCAGGCTGAAGACAGGAGCCAAGAGCTTCATCTGGGTCTTGGGCCGTCCTCTGCTGCTCTCCCAAGTACATTAGCAGGGAGCTAGATTGGAAGTGGGGCGGCCAGGACTGGAGTCCGGGCCCAAATGGGATGCTGGTGGGATGCTGGCATTGAAGGTAGCATCTTTTTTTTTTTTTAAGATTTTATTTATGGGGGTTTCAGATCGGTGCAGCTCCGGCCATTGCAGCCATCTGGGGAGTAAACCAGCGGACAGAAGACCTCTCTCTCTCTCTCTCTCTGCCTCTCCTTTCTCTGTGTAACTCTTTCAAAAATAAATAAATCTTAAAAAAAAAAAAAGAGTAACTTGAAAAAGAAAAAGTAGGAGCCACTGGAATTTAAGAGTTGGATAAACTGAAGTCCATGAGTCAGGTCTTGGGGCTCTGTGAGTCTTTCTGGTTCTTCTGATGTCTTGGTTTCCTCATTTTGCTTCCATGCAGGGGAAGCAGGACCCCAGACCCCAGACAGGCACCCACCCAGAGCCCGGAATTTGGGAGCTCGGACCCTTGGGCCTTGCGCGAGTGGCACTTCGATCATTAATGCAGGTGGAAAAGTCGGCGTGGCAATCCTTCTACCCGTCTCTAACTCAGACTTTCCGCTCACCGGGTCTGCTTTCTGTCCTCCCTCACCACACAATTAGTCTGAATAGTTGAGGTTTCCCTGTTGTCTCCACGAAGGGTCTCGGAGGCAAGGTCAAATCAAGGGCAAACCTCATGGGTCAGGAGTGTTCTGGTTTGCGCCACGGGGACGCGCCTCTGCTGTTTGCGAGTGACGTGGCTGTGTGACCGGAGTTACTGAGTGCTTTAATCAGACGGGTGAGCCAGGCGTGGGCTGACCCCAGGGGCGGATTTTAAAGATGACCGATGATGTAGAAGAGACGGCCCATCCCAGCGCAGATGGACAGAGAGGGTTAACCTCAGCCAGGGTGGGTGGGATCTGGCGGAGGGCCCTGGGACCCTTCCCCGCCCTGACGCCCCTCTGACCCCCTCTGACCCCCTCTGGCAGGCGACACGATGCAGCTCCACTCACAGGATGAGTTGCAGGTTATCTTGAGGGCAGTATCTCCCCTCCCCCCGGCCCGGGCTTGTCCATGATAATTCAGCCAGGTAGGCTGTGTCCCGTCACCCTTCCTCAGCACTTGGGTCTTTGACATTTTGGGGACAGTCCGTTGGAAGGGTGTGAGTTGTCTTAATGTTTTCTCTTTCAGATAAAGCAGAGTGTGTTGTGAGGAAATTCAGTGTAGGCGAAATCCCTGCTCATGAAAATAAAGTGGTCCTCTGTGCATTGCTGAGCCCAGTGAGCCCTAGTCATTGGTATTGGAAAGGACTTTTTTTTTTTTTTTTTTTTTGGATAAGACACAAAAGCAGAAAAGACAAACGGGATTGTATCTAACTTAGAAGCTTCTGCACAGCCGAGGTAACGCTCCACAGAGTGAAGAGATGGCCAACAGGGTGGGAGAAGATACTTACAAGGGGAGATGGGGCGGCGCTGTGGCGCAGTGGGCTAAGCCTCAGCCTGCAGTGCCGCCATCCCATATGGGTGCCAGTTCAGGTCCTGGCTGCTCCTCTTCCCATCCAGCTCTCTGCTGTGGCCTGGGAGAGCAGTAGAGGATGGCCCAAGTGCTTGGGCCCCTGCACACACATGGGAGACCTGGAAGAAGCTCCTGGCTCCTGGCTTTGGATCAGCTCAGCTCTGGCTGTTGCAGCCATTTGGAAAGTGAACCAGCAGATGGAAGACCTCTCTCTCTGTCTCTCCTTCTCTCTCTCTGTAACTCTCCCTCTGAAATAAATAAATCTTTTTAAAAAAGAACAAAGAAAAGAAATTACTAGCTGGACTATGTAAGAAACTCATACAACTCGACATCAGCAAAAACAAACAGTCCAGTTAAGAAACCGGCAGCAGATCTGAAGAGACATTTCTTTAAAAAGACAGCACAGTTGGCTGACAAATATATAAAAAATGCTCAATGCCACTAGCCATTGAGGAAATGCAAATCAAAACCACAACGAAGCACCCCGTCATCCCACTCAGAAGAGCTGTTATCAAAAAGACAAAGAGGAACAAACACTGGCTGCCTTGTGGAGAAACGGGGAGCCTTGAGCAGCCTCGGGAATGCAAATGAGCGCAGCCATTGTAGAAAGGAAAACACTACACGGAGTTTCTTCCGGAAACTAAAAATAGATCTGTCCTATGCCCCGGCCATCCAGCTGCTGGGCACACGTCCAAAGTCAAGGCTGTCAGCCTTTGAAGGAGACGCTGCACCCCCGTGTTCACTGCTGCGCCGGCCACAGTGGCCACGGCAAGGACTCCACCTGGGTGTGCATCCACGGGTGAATCAAGCGAGAAAATGTGGGTGTGCACCCAGTGAAAGATTATTCCATCCTAACAGACAAGACCCTGCCGTCTGCCCCACAGGGAGCATGACTGGAGGTCACTATGCAACGTAAAACAAGCCAGACCCAGAAGGGCAAACACTGCATGTTCTCTCTTACACACGGAAACTGTGCAAATCAGAGGTGAAGGGGCCGGCGCTGCGGCATAGTGGGCAGAGTCTCCTCCTGCAGTGCCGGCATCCCATATGGGCACTGGTTCAAGTCCCGGCTGCTCCACTTGCAATCTTGCTCTCTGCTATGGCCTGGGAGAGCAGTAGAAGATGGCCCAAGTCCTTGGACCCCTGCACCTGTGTGGGAGACCTGGAAGAAGCTCCTGGCTCCTGGCTTCAGATCGGTGCAACTCCAGCCGTTGTGGCCATTTGGGGAGTGAACCGGCAAATGGAAGACCTCTCTCTTTGTTTCTCCCTCTCTATGTCTGTAACTCTGCCTCTCAAATAAATAAATAAAATCTTTAAAGAAAAATCTGATGCGAAGTTAGAGGAGGCTGGCAGGAGTGAGGGGAGAGAGATGGAGGGATGCCAGGCACCAAACCCGGGAAGAAGCCACAGGCTCTGGGGCTCCACGCACACTGGGGCGACTGTAGATCACACCTTATGGTACATCCCCAACTCTGTTATTCCAGTAGCAGGCGTGAATGGCGGGCGAGCTGGGCGTGGTCTACAGACGGTGCCAGGTAGCTCTTACTAAGATTAGATGTTAGCAATAGGGCAACACGGGTGTCCGATACGTAGGAACTCTACTACTCCACAACTCCTATTTCATACACTTAAAACTATTCAAAATCAGCTGTAGAAACAAACAAGCTGCAAAGAACTGGAAGAGAGGTGCTGGTAGGATCCGAGCACAAAGAACAGACGAGGACGTTTCATTGCTAAATGGATCAGTCCACACTGCGTGCACGTGCTGAAATATGGCACTGTAGCCCATGCAAACCTACAAACAGCACATGCTGACCAAATGAGAGCTTAGTCGGTGAGTCTTACAGCACATCTTATTTTTTTAAGATTTATTTATTTATTTGAAAGTCAGAGTTGCAGAGAAAGAGGGGGGGGGTGTCTTCCATCTGCTGGTTCACTCCCCAGATGTGCCCACGGAGATGGAGAATCCTGGCCCTGCACACAGCTGCTTTGCCATGAATCCAGTTCTGCTGACCGACGGACGAGGAACGGAAGTGAGAGCGCAGTGTGCCGGCTTCTTCCGAGTGCACTTGGAGCATGCACAGAAACGCATTCTCAGCTCAAGGTCACCGTTCAGAGAACAGGAAGGCTCTGTGGCAGCCCCTAACAGAATCCTTTATTTCTGATGGCCACAGCTGATGTTGTTCAAAATCCAAACCCTGTTGGGCAGCTTGCGGAGTGACAAGGTCATCTGGCTTCGCAGCCTTGCCAGGGTTCTCTGTAGAAGCCGGGCATTGCTGGGGAGGAGACGGGACACTGAGACCTGGAGTGGGGACGGCAGGCTGGGACTGCGGCAGAGAACCCTGGAGTCCTCCCTCTGAGCCTCCCTCACTGGTCGTTCTGTGCTTGGGGATCCCTGTGGTCACCCAGGGCAGCCAAGAACATGGGTCATGCCACCCACCCCAGGGTCCCTTGTCCCCATCAGACCCTACTGAGGTCCAGCTCTCAGCACCAGGGCTCGGGGAGGTCCCAGGACTGAGGAAGGTGCAGTCTCTGCACCTTGCAAGACTTTGCTAATATACGTGGGCAGAAAATGTGGAGAGTAGATTTTGTCAAATTAATACTAGCTCGTTATTACTATGGGCTTGGTTCTTTTTTAAGATTTATTTATTTAGTTGAAAGACAGAGTTACAGAGAGGAAGAGAAAGGGGGTGGGGGAGAGGTCGGTCTTCTATCCCCTGGTTCACTCCCCAGATGGCCGCAACGGCCAGAGCTGTGCTGATCCAAAGCCAGGAGCCAGGAGCCTCTTTCGGGTCTCCCACGCGGGTGCAAGGGCCCAAGGACTTGGGCCATCCTCCACTGCTTTCCCAGGCCACAGCAGAGAGCTGGATTGGAAGAGGAGCAGCTGGGACTCAAACCAGCGCCCATATGGGATGCTGGCACTGCAGACGGTGGCTTGACTCGCTATGCTACAGCACCGGCCTACCGCGGGTTTTCTTTGAGGCATCCTCCAAGGCTCCTTCCTTACCAAACGAGGAACGGATGCCTTTAATGGAAGAGCTATGCGCAGGTTACGGCCTCCCTGGACTCTCCTGTTTGTGAAAGCAAGGTGAGCGTTGCTGGCTTGCTCACATGGGTGAGAACAACGCGGGGGACGAGCTGAGTGATTACACACGTGACACACATGTGACACGCACGTGACACACATGACATGGAAGAGACACTGAGTACGATAGGACAAGCGTGCAAGCCCTGGCCCCAGAAGAGCCGCGTAGCACATGGTTAAGCAGAAACAGCATTGCATGATCTCATCTCTGTTGTTTTTTTAAATGTCAGCATTTACTGTCAATGTACACACAAATCCTACGGCTCACGAGAAACTGTTGGGTTCTCCCCCTTGGGGAAGGGCCTGGGCAGGCTGTGTTTGGTAAGCGACCTGCAGTTTGTTAGTTCTCATTGTATATAGTTCTGAGCTGTTTAACTTTTACTTGAGTGGGTGTGCATCCATTTTATGCTTTAAAAACAGGTTTTTCCCTCGCCCTGTTAAAGAAGTCTTCCTTCCCCGTCTTTGGGAGAGATTCCGGCTTCCTGTGGCTGGAGAATTTCCCCGGGCAATGGTGCCCGGCTCCGGCTGGGCCAGGTGGCCCCGAGACCCCCGGATGGGACGGCTGGGCCGAGAGGCCCTGGGGCTGGCGTCTCCTCCCCGGCGTCGCCTCCATGCGTGGCCCAGCTCTGCACCCCTGGAACTTGTCCCTGTTGCAGGACAAGTTGGCCTCTGAGGCTTGTGTCAGATTGGAGGCGGAGCCGAGAGCCGCACCTGCTCAGGAGCCTCGAGACCCACCCACTGGGAGTCATCGCCTGCACCCACTTCCCCACACAGCCCCTGTGGGCCCCAGAGGGCCCGGGCACCTCCTCGGGAGGCTCTGTTCCTGGTTTCCATCAGCCATTGCACGAATCAACGCACCATGGCTGTCTAACGGCCTCTCTGGGCTGGGAACGCGCGCCCGCGCTCAACAAGAGGCGCTGCCGGCGTCTAGGCTCCAAGTGGGCTTCTGCGACTGATCTCGTCACTCAGACCCCCCGGGGCCCCCAAGCGGAGCCCAGAGACTCGGCAGGTGGAAGCACCTGTCTGCCGAAGGCCCTTAGTCCCAGGCCACCACCTGTGCAAGCAGCATGCACCGTCCCTAAGCGGGATGTGTGTGCACAGGTGTGTGCAAACAGGACAACCTTCAGCCATGTACCCACGTGCCTTACACGGGATATACCCTCTAATCCTCGCCTAACCCTACGGGCTACACACCATTAACCCATTTTACGGACGAGGACTACTGAGGCTCAGAGGCAGAAACCAACTGGTAGACACATGCACAAGAGGCGAGTGAGGTTTAGGAAGTTTCCATGAAAGCACACACACGTGTCCCCCCTGCCCCTTTGTTTGGCTTCTGCAAAGACAGAACAGGTCACCGCCGTCTCCTCCCCGGCCGATCGGTGCCCGGTGAGGAGCCAGTTCACGGCTGGCTTGGCTCAATCCTCCCCGCCCCTGCTCCCCACCCCCGCACAGCCACCCAAACGTGACCGTTTTTCTCCTTTTTCTTCGCCAGATATTTGTTTAAATTGAAACCTCCTGGTCGTCGGCATTTGCCAAGTGGGACGGCTGGGGCGGGGACAGCGGGGCCGGCGCTGAGCAGACAGGGGACGAAGGGAATGTTTTTGTGACACTGAAATATGGCCGTGCCTGTGTCGGGCATTCGCAGGAACCTCTCGGTGAGTTTTGTGGACGCGGCCGCCGGCTGGGGGAGAACCAACTTCTGCTGACACGTGAGGCCAGGAAACGGGCTCTCGGACACTCATTCCTCAGGGACAAGTCCCACCTTCCCGCAATGCCTCCGCTCTGCAAATTGCAAGCATGTGTCCTGCGGCTATGGAGGGGAGAGCCGTCCAGATGACAAGCTGGCACGGCCAGGAGCCGTGTGCAAAACAGGAAACGGCGGCAAATGCTCCCAGCCTTCTCCAGGAGACAAATTGCTTCACTGTCTTCGCCGGGAATGAATAGAGAAGGGAGGACTTCATTTCCTACGCCAAAAAAAAAAAAGGCTAATTGGTGCCCATATGTCAGACTGCACTATTTCTTCCAGCCCTTTCAAGGCTGCTGTAATCTTTGGCCTGGGAGCCAACGGGAAGAACTGAGCCATGCGCGCCACGAGCAAGCCCCAAGCAAAGGCGCCCCGCGGTGTGGGTGCCCCCTGCGGCGCCTCTGTTCCCCGCAGTGGCCTCGCCCAGACTCCCGGCCAAAGCCCATCCAGCCCCGGTGCTCTCCCGACCATGTCAGAGTCCAGACTGGGACAGTGGAAGCCAGGTGGGATTGGTCGCATCCCAGACGCAGGCGAGAACTGGCTTCCCTGTTGTTCCATAAACGCCAAGGACTTGTCCCCCTGGGGGATACCGGGGCTCCTCCGAATTCCTCTGCTGGAATTCTCATCCCCAAGGTGACATCACAGGGCCTTGGGGAGTGCTGAGGGCAGGGCAGGGGCCCCCTCGGGTGCGAGATCGGTGCCCCAGAGAACTTCCTGGCCCCTATATCACGGGGGACACAGCAAGAAGGCTCTGCCCACGCCAGACACCAACCAGCTGCACCTTGATCTTGAACTTGGCAGCCCGCAGAGCTGGGAGCATTCAATGTGCGCTTTCTAAGCCTCTGCTCTGTGGTGTGGGGTTAGGGTGGGGACACGGGCAGGGGTTTCTGTCTGGTTTCTCTCTGTGCAGCATCCAAGCTCCTAAGACAGCGCGGGGCACCCTCTTGGGGCTCAGCAGGTACGTGTGGAGTCCCGGCGTGAGCAAGCACCCATGGAGCCCGCCCGTGGGTTTCACCGGTCCTTGGTCCTCCCTCCCTTCCTGGTGAGAGCCCTGAGCCTTAGCCACAGGCCACGAGGGTTGCTTGGTTCCAGATGGGCCGTGAGCCAATGAGTCAGTCCCCAGGCTCTTACGGGAACTCGGACGAGGGGATTTTCCTGTGGACTTGCCCTCTCTGAGGACAGAGGGAGGCTGGGTTTCCGGGATTCTCTCCTAGAGAGAGGAGTCAGCGCAGGGCAAAGCAGAGAGAGAGAGAGACCGGGTCGTGTGTGTGTTGAGCTCTCACCGTGCTGATCCTGGGACCCGATACATCCGCCGTGTCAGTCTCTAGGACTAGAGAGAAAGGAGTGAGTGAGGCATGCTGGGAACACGGTTCCCGCTGGGACACCTGGACACGTCCCTGGTCCCCGGCGAGAGCCAGGCTGCGGCTTCGGAGAGCCCCAAATGCAGCACCTTCAGCGAGACGCACGCTGCCCCCACGCAGACGTCCGAGGGCAGCCCGGGGCTTCCAGCATGGTTTGAGTGGTGGTCGGCTCTGTCACGTTCCCATCCTAGAAAGCGGCTCCCCCTCCACGGCCCAACAGGGCAGGGAGGCTCCTGTCTTCCTGCCAGCTGAGAGAGAGAAGGGAGGAAGAGGAAAGGCGCCATCAGCTTGGAGAGGTGTGCAGCTGGGCACAGAACAGGAGCCCCAGATAACCTTCCTTCCTTCTCCTCTCTCTGTCTGCATTCACTGAGCACCGGCTATATACCAGGAAGATAACACTGAACATGGTAGGCTCAGTTCTCACCTTCCTGGGGTTCAAACGTCACCTAAGTCATTAAAAATGTCAACGGAGGGCCCGGTGCTGTGGCATAGCCGGCTAAGCCCCTGCCTGAGGTGCCGCCATCTCATATGGGTGCTGGTTCAAGTCCCGGCTGCTCCTCTTCCGATACAGCTCCCTGCATGACCTGGGAAAGCAGAAGATGGCCCAAGTCCTTGGGCCCCTGCACCTGTGTGGGAGACCTGGAAGAAGCTCCCAGCTCTTGGCTCTGGATCAGCGCAGCTCCGGCCATTGCAGCCATTTGGGGAGTGAACCAGTGGATGGAAGACCTCTCTCTCCGTCTATACCTCTCTCTATGTGTAACTCTGCCTCTCAAATAATTAAATAAAATCTTTAAAAAAAAATGTCAAAGGAGGGGCAGGTGTGTGGCAAGCAGGGTGAGCCGGCCCTGGGGATGTCGTCATCCCACGTCGCAGTGCCTGGGATCCAGGTCCACCTCCATCGCCAGCTGCCTGCTAATGACCTTGGTGTCACAGACAGCGGCTCAGTATGTGAGTCCCTTACACCCGGTGGAAGACCCAGATGGAATTTCCAGCTCCTGGCGTGAGCCTGGCCCAGCTGTTGTGGGCATCTGGGGAGTGAACCAACAGATGGAGGATCTCTCTCTCTCTCTCTCTCTCTCTGCCTTTCAAATAAATAAAAGTGAATAAGCACTACCAATGTATTACAAATTATAATGTGACAGTGCCACTTTGATCACAATATAAAATCAGGAATAAGTGTCTTTTGAAGAGGCGGAGTTCCAGTTTTGGATGGTGGTGTCTCCCCAGGGCAAAAAGCCAGGCCCTCCCTACACAAGCCCGGACTGTGCAGAGCTCGGCCGCCCAGCCTCGGAGGGCCACTGGCCTGCTGGCCGCCGAGCACACGCCTCCTGCCAAGCCAGGAGCGGGCTCTGCTTGCTGACTGCGGAGTGGCGCTGCTGGTGGGCACATTCTCGCGGTCGCGTGCCTGTCGCAAGCCTTTGATCTGTAATGACGCATTAAAGATTCTGCACCTCCCCAGAGGAGCTGCAGGCATTTCAGGATGAAATTCCCCGGCCTGTACGAGGGAGCTGTGACCAGCTCCATGACATGCTCTGAAAATGCAGTGAGATGAGGACCGAGGTCTCGTAGCACAGGGAACATGGTGACTGCTTCTCAGACCATTGCTGCCAGCTTTTCTGATTCAAAAACACTCTCTTCCCACCTCGTTTTAGGATGCCTGATAGTGAGATGTCTGGGTTTTGTTTCCTAGAATAAGCATATAGTACTTTTTAAAGATTGATGTATTTGTCTAAAGGCAGAGAAAGAGGGGGCTGAGAGAGGGGGGGAGGGAGCAGGAGGGGAGGGAGAAAGGAGGTGAGAGATTTCCATTTGCTTGTTCACTCCTCAAATGGTCGCGATGGCCAGGGTTGGGCCAGACTGAAGCCAGGAGCCAGGAGCTTCTCCCCGCTCTCCCACATGGATGGCAGAGGCCTAAACTCTTGGACCTCCTCCACTGCCTTCCCAGGTGCCTTAGCAGAGAGCTGGATCAGAAGTGGAGGAGCCGGGACACAAACAGGCGCCCACAGGGGATGCCACAATGCTGGCCCCTGGTATGTATTATTGTTATGTCTAACTTAATTTAATGTGTAAGAATAATGACCTTTTTGTCTTTAAAAATGAAATACGCTCATAAAGTATTTAGGCAATGAAAATAAGAATTTTTTAAATAATAACATTATTATCATTGGGTGAATGATTTTTTAAAAGACTTATTTATTTGAAAGTCAGAGAGAGAAGGAGAGGCAGAGAGAGAGAGAGGTCTTTCATCCACTGGTTCACTCTCCAATTGGCCTCAGTGGCCAGAGCTGAGCCGATCCGAAGCCAGGAGACAGGAGCTTCCTCCAGGTCTCCCACGAGAGTGCAGGGGCCCAGCACTTGGGCCATCTTCTACTGCTTTCCCAGGCCACAGCAGAGAGCTGGATCGGAAGTGGAGCAGCCGGGACTCGACCTGGTGCCCGCATGGGATGCCGGCACTGCAGGCGGTGGCTCTACCCGCTACACCACATCGTCGGCCCCAGGTGAGTGATTTTTCGCATCATTTTAAGCAGATATATCTGTGATAATGTTTTAGGCTCCTAAAATTTGCACACGATCAGCCTCGAAGTGCTTTGCTGCATGGACACACAATGATCTGCGGGACTGACTTCCAGGGAGGGGGCAGGCTTAGGGTCGGCTCCCCCAGAGTGCGTGTGGGGCGGGGAGCAGAGCCCAGGCTGCTTCCAGGACAGTGGTCACAGCGTCTGTAGCAGCTCTGGGTTTTGCATCTGCAGTGACAGGTCCAGAGAGAGAGGTCGGGAGCTTGCCACAGCGAAACTTTCTTGAAAGCTTGCGGGGGGGGGGGGGGGGGTGCTTTCTGGCGCAGTAAAATTCAGGCATCCCGCACTGGAGAGTTAATTCAAATCCCTGCTGTCTGCTTCCAATCCCGCTCTCTGCTAATGCTCCTGGCAAGGCAGCAGAAGATGGCACGAGTGCTTGGGCTCCTGCACCCATGTGGGAGACCCGGATGGAGCTCCAGGCTCCTGGCCCAGCCCTGGCTGATGTGGGCATTTGGAGAGTGAACCAGCAGATGGGAGATTCCCTCTCTCTCTCTCTCTCTCTCTCTCTCCCTCTCCCTCTCCCTCTCGCTTTCTCCCTCTCTCTCTCCACCCTTCAAATAAAATAAAACAATAGATTTCATTCTACTTGAACTTGACATGAGAAGAGTAAAGCGAAAGTGAACCTGAGGGAATTGTTGCATGTCAGCTAAATGTTCCTTACTGCAGGAGATATTTTCTCCCTAGAAAATGCCCTCTTGGGGAAATAAGGTTAAGAAAAGAAACCATCAAAAATGTTAGGAGGTCAGAGTCACGGTTTGCTGAGCAGCACGGTTGCATTTTCCATGACTCAGGGATGCGAAGGCTGAGTCACGCTTCAGGCCACTTCCTCCCGTCCTGTTCCGCCCTTCCCTCCCGTTCCGTCCCTCCTGTCCCGTTCTGCCCCTCCCTCCTGTCCCGTCCCTCCTGTCCCGTTCCGCCCCTCCCTCCTGTCCCGTCCCTCCTGTCCCGTTCCGCCCCTCCCTCCCGTCCCGTCCCGGTACCATTCTACAGCAGCCTCGCTCAGGACACGCTGCGCTGGTCTTTGCTCAGGGTGGTCAGTTTCGCGTTGGGTCTCGGGGATCCCTTCCTATTCCAGCCTGGCCGTCCCCAGACACTTGATTTATCTCTGAATTGTCTGGGTTTCATTTCTGAATCATTTCCCTCAAGAAGGATCCATGAGCGTGCCTCGAGATATTTATCTGTGACTTCAAAATGTTTTTTTTATTTCAGAGAGGGGGTGGGGGGAGAGAGAGCGCTTCCATCTGACAGCTCACTCTCCACATGCCTGCAGCAGCCAGGGCTGGGCCAGGCCAAAGCCTGGAGCCCAGGGCTTCTTCCAAGTCTCCCACGTGGGTGCAGGGGCCCAAGCACTTGGGCATCATCCACTGCTTTCCCAGGTGCATTAGCAGGGAGCTGGATGGGCAGTGGAGCAGCCGGGACTCGAACCGGCACCCATATGGAATGTTGGCGTCACAGGTGGGGGATTAACCACGTTGCCTCGAGGCCAGCCTGGTTGAGATACTCTTGAGTTACATTTTCCCTGAGAAATTCTAGCCGGTGCTTGATTATTTTCTGGCCTTGACTGCTGACTATCAAAGGCAGAGACTAGTCTAATTGGCTTGTCTTCTTTCTGTGTCCTAAGCTTACATGCTTTCTTAGGGTTCTTGGAGTCCAATAAGAGAGTGAGAAAACGCCTCCGTGTTATTCAGGCAAAGTTTGCTTGCTCTTTAAACCTACAGATTCATTTCTTTGTTGGAGCTATTTTCTTGCTTTAAGTCTTTCCACGTCCCATCTGCCCTATTTGCAGAGCCTCTGCTTAGCGACAACTAGGTTCACAACGCTTTGTGCTTGTCCCACGCGCTCCTGGTGTGTATCTCCAGCGTAGTTTTCTATGTCTGTAATTCTACGTGTAGCTGTATCTGTTCCGTTGTTTGGCTGTTGTCGTTGATGTAACAGCTCCATGATAATCTTGTCTGGGTTTTGATTTGTTTCTAAGGTACTGAAATACTCACTGTCTTGCTTCACCATTTCCTCTTTGGCCCCCAGGATATTAATTTGCTTTCTGATCGACCTGTTCTGGACCCCAAAGCACTCGGGGGAAAGATGCCTTGCTGGTTCTCTTCTTTCCAGATCTGGGGATTTTGATCAATTCTCAACATTTTGGTGAACCAGGGCCTCACGGGGGGATCAGACACTGCACCCTTCTAAAGTCCCCCATCCCCCTCCCCCCACCCCCCTCTCCTCTGCCCTCTGCTTTTTCATGGAAATGAATAGGCTTCGCCCATTTTCCTGTCTGCTGGCTCTGACTGACTTCTGTTTTCTTTCTTTATTTTGCACTTTATATATTGAACGCAGTCTCTATTTTGCCTCCATCCTGTCACCTTTCTTCCTAAGTCTACATGTTTTAGTTTCACTTATTACAAAGTCATGAAAAAGTGACCTTCATCTTTTATTAAAAAATTTAAGAGATCATATGTGTAAGGTGTACTCAGCAAACATTATTTTTTAAAAAGCTTGATTTATTTATTTGAAAGGCAGAGTTACAGAGAGAGAAAAAGAGAGAGAAAACCTTCTATCCACTGGCTCGCTCCCCAAATGGCTGAAACAGCTGGAGCTGGACCTCCGCCCGGGTCTCCCAGGTGAGTGGCCGGGCCCAGGTACTCGGGCCATCTTCCGCTGCTTTCCCGGGTCTCCCAGGTGAGTGGCCGGGCCCAGGTACTCGGGCCATCTTCCGCCGCTTTCCCGGGTCTCCCAGGTGAGTGGCCGGGGCCAGGTACCTGGGCCATCTTCCGCTGCTTTCCCGGGTCTCCCAGGTGAGTGGCCGGGGCCAGGTACTCGGGCCATCTTCCGCCGCTTTCCCGGGTCTCCCAGGTGAGTGGCCGGGGCCAGGTACCTGGGCCGTCTTCCGCTGCTTTCCCGGGTCTCCCAGGTGAGTGGCCGGGCCCAGGTACCTGGGCCGTCTTCCGCCGCTTTCCCGGGTCTCCCAGGTGAGTGGCCGGGCCCAGGTACTCGGGTCGTCTTCCGCTGCTTTCCCGGGTCTCCCAGGTGAGTGGCCGGGGCCAGGTACTTGGGCCATCTTCCACCGCTTTCCCGGGTCTCCCAGGTGAGTGGCCGGGCCCAGGTACTCGGGTCGTCTTCCGCTGCTTTCCCGGGTCTCCCAGGTGAGTGGCCGGGCCCAGGTACCTGGGCCGTCTTCCGCCGCTTTCCCAGGTCTCCCAGGTGAGTGGCCGGGCCCAGGTACTCGGGCCGTCTTCCGCCGCTTTCCCGGCTGTGTTAGCAGGGAGCTGGATCACGGTGGAGCAGCCGGGACTCCACCAGAGCTCTCCCAGGATGCCGGTGTTGCAGGCGGCTTTACCGGTTGCCCCCCAACACCGCCCTCCAACCTCAATTTGAAAGATGAACCCTCCGAACCTTGTGCTTTAACTGGACAGCGACCCAGGAGCCCTGCACCGCTTTCCCAATGAGGGCTTCTGGGGTGGGTGTGAAGGGGAACCCAGTCTTCAACAGAACTCTCGTCCCGGACGTGGTCGGCTCTCAGCAGTGCTTCTCGGTGAGGGCCAAACGTGCTCCGCTGAACACGGCCGCCTCCACGTGCTCTGCTCAGCCCTCCGGGTTCTCACGATGGCGAGACGTTGGCACCCTGCGGGAGCAACACGGACCACCGTGACCCGTGCAAATTATCTTTCTATCTGTGCCCCAAACAGGCAGCACAGAAATGATTTTCACTGTGAAACTGCGGGAGGAACTTTGCTGCATGATCGTGTCTGAGTTTGCTCCCTGCACAATCCTCGCTCAAAGCCCACGGACAGAGCCCATGCCTACGGAGCTCAGGTGCCCACGGCAAGGATGAGCCAATACTTGGAAAACAGCCATGGACTTGGCCGCAACAGCCAAGCCAGCATGGTGGACGTCCACAAGTTCACGGGCAACGGGACAGTCCAGCTGCTCGTATCTGAGGGGGCCCAGAGACAGGGCCACAGTTGCACTGAGAGACGTGTTTCTATGGTGAAGAAGGAAAGTAAAAGCCCACAGGCAATTGCTCCTACAAGGTTCTTTGTTTGTTTGTTGTTGTTAAAGATTTATTTATTTATTTGAGAGACAGAGTTAGACAGAGAGAGAGGTCTTCCATCTGCTGGTTCACTCCTCAAATGGCCAAAATAGCTGGAGCTAGGACAATCCGAAGCCAGAAGCCAGGAGCTTCTTCTGGGTCTCCCACATAGTCAGCAGGGGCCCAAGCACTTGGGCCATGTTCTGCTGCTTTCCCAGGCCATTAGCAGGGAGCTGGACAGGAAGTGGAGCAGCCAGGATTCAAACTGGCGCCCATATAGGAAGCGGGCCCAGCAGGTGGGGCCGGCCCCACTCCTCCAAGCTTTAAAGCACTTACATGGAGCGCTGCTGCCTTCAGCCCTTGGCCTCTCGGGCTGTGGAATGAGCAGGTGCTGAGTGGGAAGCTGTCTCCCTGGTGCAGACCACCCTCGGGGAAAGCGCCGCAGGGCTCCTCCTAATCGGCACACTGGCTGGCTGAGCCAACAGCCCACCGAGCAGTGCTGTTGGCCCAAATGACTGTCTTGGCCAAACGTGTGTAAAATGCTAAAATAAAACAACTCTCCGAGAATCGCTGATTGCAGCCGATATCAGAAACGTCTGTAGGTCCTGCAGAGTTCGTATGCGGGAGCTGCGAAAAAGTTCATGAAATACTGCAGTCAAAAGGCTTCTTTTGGTGCCAAAAACACTTGAAGAGCCACCCTCGGAAATTCTCCCTGCGGGCGATTCCTGACTTCCTGGGAGCCCCTGTGTGCTGCGAGTGCTCAGGTCTCCCTGGAGGGCGCATGCAGCTCCGGGGTCACCGTTGTCCCCACAACACTCACTATTCTGACCCCAGGGCTTCCTGAAGGACCTGTGGCACCGCCCACCCAGGAAATCAGGAGCTCTGGCATTTAGTCAGACTCCAGGGGACAGCTAGGGACACCATGTGGGGTGCAGGCTGGGCAGGAGGCAAGGGGGAGGGAGGGGAAGGGAGTGCTTTCTTTAGTGACTGCCCCCGGGCAACCAGTCCGGTTCACTTGCTGGGAGGGGCGCCAGGAGAAGATGTGAGAGGAGGCCTGGCTTTCATCCCCTCCCACCGCCCAGAAAGACCAAGTCCCTTACTCAAGAGCCCCCAGCCGTGGCGGGGAGGCCCCTGGGTGACACAGAGCTCTGTTCCTGCACCCGCCCTTGCACCCCAGCACCTGTGCGCAGCGCCCTCGCCCGCCTCCGTCCGCTCTCCCGCCTCGTGCTGCTCCTTGGCCACCAGGCTTCCCCCTGTCCTGGAAGACGCCGAGTCCCGTCCTGCCTCGTGACTGTTGTCCCAGCCTAACTCCTGATTCGCATCTCACCCTGATACCACTCCTCAGCGTGTGTGTCCATGCAGAACTCCAGCCACTGACTACGGTGTGTCTCCACTACGCTAAACAGAAGACAGACAGGACGAAACGTGGAGCCTGGACCGTCTCTGCCAGACGGACCCACGCCCTCATGGAGTCCTGCTGATGGGGGCGGGGGCACTTGTGAGGACCCGAGGGAGGGACGGGCTGAGTGGCCCACAGCGGGCAGGAGATCAGGGTCTACCAGTTGTCCTGTTTCTTGTACCTCCCCTTCCCCCATTTCCTTGGTGATCTGAGTCCCATTTTTTTTGCTTGAAAGGTGACTGCTAAAAGCAATAATTAGCTTTGCAGCAGATGTGTCCACGTGGCAAGGTGACATGGGAGCCACGTAGAAGTGTCCAGGCAGAGATTCTTGGCTCGCATCCTCCAGGGAAAGGCAGGATTTGGGTTGCTCTTCCTTCTTGTGGGCAAGAGGTGGTCCTGGGAGCGGGGTGGGTTGCCTGCAGGCCACGTGGCTGACGATGGGGAGCCGTGGTTGGGAAAGTGAAAGAACCACGTGGAGGGGCCAGAGCTGTGGCATAGTGGGTAAAGCTGCCACCTGCAGTGCCAGCATCCCATAGGGCACCAGTTCAAGTCCCGGCTGCTCCACTTCTCATCCAGCTCTCTGCTATGGCCTGGGAAAGCAGTAGGAGATGGCCCAAGTCCTTGGGCCCCTGCACCCATGTGGGAGACCTGGAAGAAGCTCCTGGCTCCTGGCTTCAGATCGGTGCAGTTGCAGCCATTTGAGGAGTGAACCAGCAGATGGAAAACCTCTCTCTCTCCCTCTCTCTGCCTCTTCTTCTCTCTGTGTGTAACTTTGACTTTCAAATAAATACATAAATCTTAAAAA